TGGCCTAGGGTAATTTTTAAGAGGGGTTTTTAGAGGAGTTTTTAATTATATTTTAAATTAGACAAGTTAAATATTTCATTTTAATTAATTTTAAATTTTGTGCTGTTATTGGTGTTTTTAATTGATTGTCAGCCGCCCTGAGTCCGCAAGGAGAAGGGCGGGATATAAATTCGAATAATAAATAAATAAATAAATAAATTATTATTATTCCAATTTATATCCCGCCCTTCTCCCGAAGGACTCAGGGCGGCTCTCCTAGTAGTATTAGAAATTTGAGTTAAATTATTTACTTTCTTTTTTTTTAACAAGGCCTGTGTTCTTACGCAATAAATAAATCTGCCTGAAACAGTAGTTAAGATTAAAAACTAAACATGTCTAAACAATACAACTGTAGTTAGTAAGGAGGATGACCTTGGGAGAGATATGTAAGCTCCATTGCAAGGTAACAAGGGGCTGGAAGCATTTTTAGGTCCAAAATGGCCAAATAACCTTCAGAAGCAGCTTAGACATACGCCTCCCTAATTCACTGAAGTATAAGGAACAGGAGGAACAACACAATTAGACTTGCAAGATTATAGCCAATCTGTATAAAAACAGTTTTAGCCTTGTGGAGATGTTTTTCTGGTCTGGTCTACCTTGATGGATTGACAATAACAGTATAATAAGTAACACACCCAAAGCCTGAGGAGGGGAATGCTGTTTCAAAGAAGGAAAAAACAGCAGCTGAAAAGGAGACCTACAAAGGACATTACCTAAGAGTTGGGGCCCAGAGGAAGCCTTCTCTTCCAATTCTTAAAGACAGGCAGAAACAATAAGGAGAGGGTGGTCCTGCAAATATCCAGGTCCCAAACCATAAAAGTCCTGAACCATAAAGGACTTTCAAAGTGACAACGGGCACCTGGAGTTGCCCCTGGAAACAAACTGGCAACCAGTACAGTTCTCAGAGCAGAGGTGAGACATGGGCAGTTGACCAACACCTACAATTGCCTGAGTCACTGCTTTTAGGGCAGACTCCAGTTTCTGGGTAGTCTTCAAGAGCAACCCCAGTGGGAACACAGTGCAGTAATCTACCACAGAGGTCATCAGTAACACTGAACAAACTTTTGTGTCCAGGAACGGTTGCACTTGGTGGATTTTTGCAAAGCCCTTCCTAACCACGTGTAGAACTATTTTCAACTTCCACAAATTTCAAACTGGGGCTTTGTGTCTTACAGGACTCCCAGAGTAGAAACCAGATGTGCACAAGGAAACGCGGCCACGTTCAGAACCACAGGTGGAATATTTCTGAAAGTGGAGAGCTTCTGTTACCCAAAGCCACTTTTATTTTACTGGTATTGAATCTAAACATTTGTACGCATCATTAAAGCAGACTGTATAACGAGGATGATACTTCTTACTAATCTGTATCCTGACAATATAAAACGCGTAGCATTTCCATGAAATACATGGTGTCTATTTTGAGGTGAAGAAGAAAAAAAATCACATCTCAAGATACTTACCAAGCACGATGACAACAGTCTTTAGGAGACTCATCATGGTGTCCCGATTCCTGCGAGGCCCTGAACTATGCCTTGACATTCTCATAGTCCTCTGGCGCACGTATCCAAAGATATGAGCATACAAGACCACCATGACTACAAAGGTGACTAAATTGAAAACAGCCCAGAAGACCAAGTAAGAGTCGCTGTAGAGTGGTGCCATGTTAGAACAGTGAGCGAGATCACAGATACAATTCCAGCCAACGCTCGGTATAGCACCCATGACAATGGCCACCGTCCAGATGACCACAATCACCACCACCACTCGCCGATTACTCATCCTCGTATGGAGCTGCATGCGAAACACGGTGATGTGCCTTTCTATGGCAATGGCCAATAAGTTGGCCACTGAAGCAGTCAGGCTGGTGTCAATGAGTCCCTGGCGAAGAAGCCATGTGCTGACAGTCAATCTTCTAGTGTTGGGTCCTGTGTTAAACATCAGGTAAAAATATGCCAGCCCTGCAAAGAAGTCAGCAGCTGCTAAGTTAGCCATTAGGTAATAAATAGGAAAATGAAAACGCCGGTTGACGTAAATGGCCACCATCACCAAGAGGTTGGCTAGCATGATAAAAACACAAACTGTAATCCCGAGTCCCATTACAAGCTTGCTCACAGTGTTCCATTCAGTTGCTAGAGTTTTCCCACTTTGGTTATAAAAGAAGGCAATGGTTTCATTGTAGTAGCACTGAGGTTCATTCATGTCTGCAGACTGGAAAAAGAACAAAAGCAGAATCTGAGGTTAGAATGAGAAAATACTGAAGTGTCAGAGAAGAAAAAAAGCTGCTCTAGAGCAATGTTTTCCAACCTTAGCAAGTTTAAGAGGAGGTGTGGACTACAGCTCCCAGAATTCCTCAGTCAATATTGGTGAATGTCTTAAACCAGGGGTCTTCAAACTTGGCCCTTTTATGACTTGTGGACTTCAACTCCCAGAATTCCTCAGCCAGGCACGCTGAAGTCCACAAGTCATAAAAGGGCCAAGTTTGATGACCCCTGTCTTAAACTTACCTAGACTGCTCTAGAATGCGGAGCAGTTTTAAAAACAAAGGAGATTGTGATTTCATCTCAAGTCTAAAATTGGGGCTGTAAAATGTTTTGAAAATGATAGTGAGCTGGTTCTGCGATGGTCACATTGGTGGAAGTAAGTTTATATGAATTAACAGATAGAACTTAAATAAAGTATGCCGACTCTGTCACTTTATTGTCATCTTATTTGAATTTTTCATTCTT